CTTGAAACGAGTAGGCTTATTGGGTAGGCGCAGTCTGTCTGGGCAGTATTATGGACGGTGTGCAGTGGTCAGGGTTACGCTTGTTCGACGCACACTTCTGCCTTGGAGGTGAGTGACGCCGGTTCCATTGCAATTCTTTTGTTCTATGACTGCCTCTCAACTCAAAGGTGTATTCAAGTAAGTTTAAGAAAAGTGGGCAAATATGTAATTTGTTCAGATGGGTTTTGTGCATTATGGCAATCTCCTAGTAATTAATACTATTATGGGACGGTGATCACAAAGTAGATGTGCTGACGTCATTTAACTTTTGGCACAGGTTCTTCCCTCCTTAATTTCGCTGACAGTATATATGGTACAGTAAATAAGAGCTCTATGCGATCTTCGTAGAGGCTGAATGTTGGGCAAGTGAAACACTTGAATCCCTAAGGCGCCAAATTTTTACGTAGGCAGTCACCGGGGATGGTACATGACCATGACTTTAATTGTGAGTTAATTCTATGGCACCGTCAATCTGCAGTACGCAGTTTCGCTACAAGTAGGGTGGTTCTCTCCTTGAACATTGTTGGGATTTCTTGGTCTCAATCACCGCAACAGTCCCCAGGGCTGATTGTGTGAACCTGTAGTAGACGCCAAAGAGATGGCCAACTTAGATTGAACAGTCACAGTAGGCATTCAAACGCTCATCAAGCTCTTCCTATTCTTATTTGAGCCCATCTCATAGACTCATATTATAGTTGCTCTTCGTGGCATCCTGGCCAGTGCTCCTACATCCAATTTGAAAGGCTCCTGAATGTTTAATGGTAAACTGACAAAATAGCAATATAGCACGGCATTATTGTGCCGAGGATAAGTACCAATTGACATCTACTCCGATTTTATGAACTCCCTCTCCTGACTAATCAGGTTTTCACTACTTTAGGATGTCTACTCTTGGTCTGAATGGTTGTAAAGAGAGGAACACTACCGGATGGTCGCTACTGCTACAGAAGATTTGTTCCTCAACTCTGTCCATATTCTGGGTATTTGGGATGTAGTTAGGCGATGGCGTTCAATTAAATAGGGCACTTGCCTACAAAACCCATTTTATCCTTCTGTGCTCCCACCATTTGCCACTCTTTCGAGTGTGAACACTCTGATATTAGCACGCCAACCCTAGCACCGATGCCCAACTAAATACGATACCAAGTATAAGGCAAAAGAATATGTAAAAAATCCCCCAAATCAAACAGTCTTTCAGAATTGCGCTTGTTTTACAACTTTATTAATTAGGGAAGTCTTGACAGCCGAGGATATCCACCTCACCTACAGTGTTAAGAACCTGCCATGCGAACAGTCGTGGGAATCGCTTACTGTCCCATTAACAAGCACTTTTACGACGACAGTGGATTCAACCTCCAAAAGGCCGAGCTTATATTGCGCCTAAACCTCAGCGAGTAAGATTTGTCTAGCCACGACGACACACTCTACACTTAAAGAAGTTATGTCGGAAGGAGCCTATTATTATTATAGGGTCTTACAAACATTACGTCACCACTTGGGTAGCTGAGGAAGGACCTGCAAGTTGGGCAGAGGAAGGGAGGAGGTAGTGTCGCATCCACCATGTCCCTCTCTTCCCACGCGGAGGAGGTGGGATAGAAAATAAGAAAAGAAATGCTAGCCAGGAAGGAGAGGTTAGGGGAAGGTGGCTCTGGAGTCAAATTTTTCTTATTAATTTGTAATTCACAAATTATGTGTCTTGATAAAGAAGGAGACACAAAGGACACTTTGATAAATGTCCTGCTGTCTCTTCTTCGCTCGCAATTCATTTTCACTCCCCACTTAAACAAAGTGTCTTGCCAATTCCCATCAACTGCCAAATTAAGCGATTTCTCCTTTTGATGAAAAGGGTGACAAGTTGAAATAATTTCTAAGGGCTGATAATTGGCTTAGGGTGCTCTACATTTAGAAGGCCACCCGATCACTGACCATAATAAGTCCCACTCCATCTGCAACAAACCACCGAATGGTTGAGATAGCCGTATTTCGGACATACACACCCCAAAGTTGTAATGTCTTACGTAATCTAGCATTCAAAATCAAATAACTTGGCTACATACATGCAAGGTTCTACCTCATTCGCTTCAAAATATATTTGCCCCTGAGAAATATCGCCCACTTTATCCAGACATCGCTTAAACAATTACATCCCACCTCCCTTTTAACATATGCTCAAACCATTTGACTCCATTACGTTGACAAGCAAGTAGACAGACGTCAACTTCGTTTCTTTTTCACAAGTAGACACTTGACATTTTCAGTGGATAAAGAATTGCCGCATTTCGTGGGCATCGTCTTTGGGAACCAATTCAGGTAAGAATGATCATGCATCGAACAGCGACTCGCACTGTTGCCAAACCACTACAGGCGATGTAGCATCCACAGAAGTCTTGGGTACTGAGGGAAGACAAAACCAATACAGAATCCGTAAGGCGCAAGCGGATTTGGCTGGATGCGTTTGTGAATTACAATTTCAAACTCACTATTGATTGGGAAATTTCTAACTGAACCGACGGTAGAGACATTGCCCAGAATATATCCACTCACTACCCTCCCTCTTTATTCAGAACTCGGGTGCACTGATCTCCAGTGATTTTTGTCCTTTCTTCTAAACTATCAGGGTACCTCTCGCCTTCTTTTCTCCCTCGTTCCACTCGCCAGAGGTTTCCGAGTGAGGCAGAGGAATATGGTAGGTGCAAATAAAGTTAGGCCCAGAATAAAGAGTCGGAGTGGCAGTTTTAGTGGAGGGGTTAGAGAAGGAGGACGATGACGAGAGCGTTGAGGAGAAGAAGGGAGAAGGCGAATAGGTGAATGAAAAACATTCACTTTTGGCTGTCAGAAATTCTTAGAGCATTGGGAGAATTGAAGTTGTGCTCCTCGGGCGCATCATGTTGAATGCTCTTGCAATTTACCCACTTGGAAGTGGTTTCTCAAGTCCTCGGTCTCCACTGCCCACGACATTTAGAGAAGAGTACAAGTTGTCGCTTTGATTCCACGTCCACATGTACTGTACCAGATAAAAGTGAGTGGTAGCTGTAGTGGACAGACGACTCTTGCAGTTGCCTAAGTAACACAGGAGGATCAGCATCTACAGAAAAGCCCTGGAGGAGGAACACTGGATTTGGTAAACTGTGAGAGAGATCAGTGAGATTCGTGTGAATTTTATGCTGTTAAGGGGTCCAACATGAGGGAGACTGGGCTACACCCGAAGAGGGAATCACTGATCTCACCTTTCCTCATGGACTCATGCTGCCCTACTGCACAAATCATGTGTCTCATTGGGTTTTCCAAATCTGGTCGTGCAAAATGACCACTTTGTACGATGGAACGCAGTCTGCCGATCAGAGTGCTGGAGACCAAATAAATCTTTAGAAGGGAGTCAAACTCAGCAATCAAATACGCTTCAGCGCAGTTCACCTGAGATGTAAGCGGACCATTACCGACTGCTGTTCATTGTAAATGTTTTGTACCTGTTGACGGGGCCCTTTTACGCTTCACTGCACAGGATTAACTAGAAGGACAAAATGGATTTTGATGAAGCTTAGTGCACTTATTTCTAGTCAAAAGATATTCTAAGAATTTATTTCAAAGACAAAACGAAAATGACGAAATCGAAGTGACTTATTTTGCTGAGAGCTAATTCGTTCATTGATGAGTCCTTTCGTTCCATTTTCAAGGCATTAGAACAGTATCACATCACTTTTTGACCAGGTCTAATATCCACCGTCGCCACTATATGTTATTGTTAGGAGAGATCACATTTTGATGCTGCCTTGCTCAAAAGCTGTCCCAGTTGTTTTCATGTTAATTGTTTACTTGCGAGACCAAGTAAAATATAACACATGGCACGATAGAATCTTCCTTAGCCAAGGGTATCCTGATCCAATCGCTTTTTCTGTAGATACAGCCACTTATTTTAATGAAAGGCAAAATCAATCAGTCACCAACCTTGTGTTGCGATAATTTAGTCTGGATGGATTGAGTGAGATAAAAGTACGAGAGGTGGGCATAAGAGAGATAGAGGTAGGTAAATAGAGCACGGAGGCACTTCCGGAAAAAATAGTCAAACCTCCAGCTAACCAGGGAGATATGTATTTGTTTGCTCGATGGTATTGCTAGCTTTAGATGCAAAATGCTTTTACTAGCACCAAAAACCACACGCATGGGACCTGTCTACCTACTGATTTCAGTAGTACAGTCATGCACAAGCAACTAATGGTTTACGAATTCATTTCACTACTTTAAATGGGGAATTCTTTTGTCAAAAGCAGTTAAAAGACAGAGTCCTCTAG